GTTCGTACGTACAACAATAACTACAGGGGTATGATAATGATAAATGTAACCTTTCTTCAATCCAAGGAACACAGAGAGATCAACACATTTGGTAAGGAGATTTTCTAAAATAGATTATAAATTAAACAAAATTATTACACATTTTCGTTATTATGGGCTACTCGCCATAAAGGTCCGTAGCTAATGACGTCACAGTGAATTAATAATAGTTTCTGGATTCTAACATTTTGGTTTTTGTCGTAATTTCAATTGATGAATTGGCGGTAAGTAATCACAATTTAGATTTTAACTGTGATTCTCGAAGTTATTCCTGTGGTGGCGACATTTTGTTTTCAACAATTAGAGCCCAACAACAATTGATAAGAGATCAAAGATAAGCGCAAAATACCAGTCAGTTCACACCCACTTTTTAACACTCATATAGATTAACACGAGCTCGTTTCCTACATGACGAAGATATACCTGTGGTGGCTACATCAGTTTTCAACATTAAAATTTGTAAATACACGGAAAAAATCGAAATCCTATTTATATAATTTTGTGACGCAAAACACAAACTACAATGTTACCAGTTAGTTATGTTTTGACGCCCACTTTATAATATTCATATAGACGAACACGTGCTCGTTCCGTACATGACGTCATATTCTGGAACTAGATTTTAGCTGGGATTCTCGAAGTGATACCTGTGGTGGCTACATTAGATTTCAACAATAGGATTTTGAAATGAACGACGAAAACCAAAATCCTATTTTCAATTTGGAACGTTCCATTATATTGAATCGCCAAGGTCCGTAGCTATTGACAGACGGGCAAGCTTGTCGTCAATTGAATATTTACAGATAACTTTGAGAACTACAGCTAAACTTTAAATTGTGTTTACGTGCCAGCAATTGATCAATTGAAATTACGCCAAAATCCAAAATGTTAGATTCTAGAAAATGTTCACTTCTGTCGTAATTAGACACAGAACTATAGGCCCACGTGAACAATTACATGATAATATGAGGTTATTATGAGAATACTGCAAAGTAAGGCGTGATGTTTGAGTGCATACTTTGAGGTCGATAGTATATCCAAACTTAGTAAATATTCTGACTAGATGCCAGTTTGTTTCAATATATGTATTGCCAGTGCTACATGTGTTGGCATAGATATATCATTGACCTGAACCATTATCTCCTGTGCATTTAGAACCTTATTATGTTGCAGTTCTGTAAGTGGTACCTTACCATCGTAACCAATCACAACATATATTGAGGAATAGTTATTTGTAAACATTAATTATGAATCAGAATCCCAGCCAGAGTCTGTATTTGAAGACCACGAAAGAAGACTTTCAAAGTATTATCTTTTTTAACATAATATAAACAGTAACACTATACATGCCTAGTACATTAAAAGACCAAGTGAATGTCAACACAAGTAGAGCCAGTCATTGGAAAGTAGTCCTACAATGGTGTGTGTAAGTCATACCTGTCGCTAGTTAAATGAATTAGTAAAATTTGCCCCTCAAAATGCAAGAAATAGCGTTTCAAAAGGTCTAAATTTTAAAAATGCATAGCCCCGGAGCATGGTTGGTGAGGAGATCTCGTCCCATGCACTATTTCGTGCCACCGCCTCTGTGCATCTTGTCTTTATGCGAACAACTAGGGATAACCTTAACCACTTCAGTTACTGAATACATTGAAAGTATTTATAATAATAATACAGTCCATTATGACACTAAATTGTACATCCAAAGGCACGATTAATCTATTTTATTTCTTTCATTTCCTATATTATATATCTGACATAAAGTCGAGAATATGAATATTAATTTCATGGTCATGCTTTAAATACATATTTAATAATTTCTTTGTATTTAATATTTGATATATTAAATGGCTTTCATGTAGCAGAAACCGGAATGCTCCTTGAAAACATTATATATTGAATATATTCGATATATATTCGATTAATGAACATTCATTACATACCTTACCGTGACATAAATATTCTACTTTGCGTTCTCTACGCATTCTGTTCGTGGTGTGCTTGTGGCAGAATCATTTTAGCTGCACTCCGTCAATGCTTGGAGAATGTAATTTTTCAATCTCAATTTTAACTTATTTCTTCTATTTCTATAATAATATTCGAATATATCGCCAGTGTCGCCAAATATATCTAATGGGATCCTGTGTAATATATCGACGATAAGTATTCGGTATAACACAATCCGCGCCATGATCAAATTATAGTGTCGACAGTACTAGCAGACACTTACTCCTTCCAGCCTGAGACAGTCAAAATGCATATATTTTTAATGTGTATACTGTACAGAAAAATCTACAGGGCTAATAACAGAGAAAAAATGTTTATAAAATATCTCACGCATATTAAACAGAGAAAAGTGAACAAAATACAGCCTCACCATCCTGAATAAAAATAAGGTAGCTCATAACTACCCGAAGGAAAAAAAATTGCACAGTAGTTCTAGTATATCCAATCCCAACAGTGTATCTAAATGTACCGGCCTAAACAAATAATATACATATTTGTAATTCAGATTTATAATTCACTGGACCCCCAGTTTCTGTCATAAGACAGGGCGCTTAGACCAGCATATAATATAACACAAACAGGCCACCGTTTCTCGCATTATATAGAACAGGGTACCATTACAAATTCTTAGCTAGTCGAGTTGAACAATGACCTTTACCCTGGTGATCACTGACCATGGAAATAATAATCTTCGATTAATTTCAATGAAAACTGGAAGAAAATGTCGACGATGTAGGTTGGGCAGGAAAAATAATTAAACACAAGATTAATTTAATAACGCAAAATTCGTCACGATGTCTAAACATGATCCACCAGCAATCTCATGTTACCGCCTCGTATATTACATCACGTGACTCTGAAGTCATATGACCAATACGTTCTGTTCTATTTATACGACCAGTATAAGTGTTGTCATGCAAGTAATGCAAGTATTATTACTCGCCGGTCCACGTTCTGGGGTGGATCATCACTGAATCATACCGATCGGGGGAACAACCACAGGGAACGTCATATAACCAACTAATTATGAAGAACATGACGGGTAAATGGAAGCAATGCAAGGCAGAAAACTTAGAAGTTTTGTTGAAAAAGATGGGAGTCGGCAAGCTACATCGAGAGATAATTTCGAAGGTAATTCCTTCCTTGGAAATATACCAAGATGGCGACCACTTCATTATACGTACTGTGACGAAATTCCGAGACGTTGAACTGAACTTCACCGTCGGAGAATGTTTCATCGACACTACGTTGTCAGGAGAAAATAGGAAAGCGGTTGCACGCTGGGAACATGGAGGTCAGAGACTGGTTGTGACTGAGTTTGACGACAAAGATGGCAAACAACAAACCCAAAGAGAACTCGCGAGTGAAAACGAGCTCTTAGTTACACTACTCTACCGCGGTGTTACTGCCAAACGATACTTCACAAGAGTAAAACAACACTGACTTTGTTCGCCACACCAGTGAAAATGGGTGTTCGACAGACCACGGCTTGTTTTAGTAACCGTATACAGACAGCAAGACTGTTACGCTCGGTTTATTGAAATAATGCTCGGAGACTGGATGTACGCTATTCAACAGTAGGTCACATAATGCAGTTCGATAATTGCAGTGTTGTTTCCGGCGTTAATTACTAATCGACTGTAACCAAGTCAAAGAAGCCTGTCAATCACCGCGAAACACGCCATCGTACACAGTACAACGATATAAGACATTGAGGTTGCAATTATATTTAATCATACATATTTTAATACTTTTTTGTAAGATAAAATATTAGCTTTCATGCCATAAATTTACCACTATTCCTTTCAATTAATACATAATCAATCCTCCGACATACACACAAAATGCTGCTACACTAATATAATACATTTGAATATCAATGCGAATTTTTAATATAACTCACTAGCTGTTGTAATGGCGACAGTGTACATCAAGTACGTCATCACCATCATCATTGTATTGTTATATATCTATTGTTATCAGACATTTGTACCCGCAATATATCTGGTGCTATCATTCTATTTTTATCGTCCTTGTTCAGATGGTGCCCTTTGCTATCTATAGTGTCTCATTGGCCGTTGAAAAGATGTTGACAGATTTATGACATTCTAACAAAGTTGTTTTTAATTGGTATGAAACAGAATAAAATTATCTGTTTTTCCACTTGGTGTCCAATGGTTCTAGTGACTTGAAAAAACATTCCACGTTTTTCATCCCAATGTGATATAAAATATAACTATTGTAAATTGTCATGGTCATTAAGGAAACACTTTCAATCCGTCACGGTATTTACAGGTAGAAGCCTGCTCCTAATTTTTGAGAAAGTCGGTCATGAATCGCATGAAAATGTTCATTGGTTTATTGTGTAAAATCGTGAAGCTGTTGTCTCATGGCACCATGAAATAGCATTCTTTTGTGTGTTACAGTGACGTATTTTGAGAATATTTTTTCACAATAGTACAATGTTAAAGAAAAAAATCTTGTTTTGCCACTTTTTAAAACCCAGATTTTTTGAAATAACTGAGAACAACAAAAAGTACCCCATCATTCACAATATATAATTGTTCAGTCTATGTCACCAGCCTACAATTTGTTCTGCCATAGAAACTTTATGGTAAAAAATTAAGATGGTGAACCCCAAATTTTGTTTAAGTCAAAATCTTTATATTGCTCGAAAGTACAACTCATTGGAAAATAAATAAGTTCTGTGTATTTGAAATCATGATTAGGGGACTACCTTAAACGGATTTGTTTGGAGTCGTACTTTCATTGTTTCAGTTCACCCATACGTACGTACGGCAACCGAGGTTGCTCACAACATAGCATTTTATAAAACCATTTTTACAATTCATTTTTATTTTATTATTCCTTTTTAATAACCATTTTCGGTTCTGAAAACGATTTTTAAAACCAAAATCCACTTTCGTTTCGGATATCTGTTTTCACTTTAAAAAAATGTTCAAAATCCATTTTCGTTTTTGAAATCCGTTTTTTTTTTAATTTTCGTTTTTAAAATCCGGTTTTTTTTTTCAAAATCCATCCAGTCACTGAATATGATATTATAAATGAAATTGATTGTTTAGACCCCCCGAAAACATGAAATATGACCACATACATCCAAGATTTGTGATTGACGCTATTAATGTCATTTCCGGTCAACTGCTGTCTGACCCAAGGCAAATTTCCGGATGCATTAAAATATGCTAAAATTACACCTATTTATAAAAAAAAGAACCGTAAATATTAATTAATGGTACCTCGTCATTCTCCAATACGGTCAAGTGCGGAATCCCCAATTAACGTCATCAATAAAGCGACTGACACCTTTAACTTTCGACTGTTCTCTGACGATACAAACCTGTTTAAATTCCGAAATTAAATGAAGACTTCAACAAAGTTGTGAAATGGTGCAAGGCCAACGAACTTACAATTAAAAAACAAATTATATGATTTTGAAAACACTCCAACGCCATATTAATGTGGAAGGTAAAATAGGTATAGATGGTACATGGATAGAGGGTGCTTCGGTTACAACATATTTTGGTGTAACCATCGACCCATCCCTGACATGGAAATTGAGAAAATAAGTAAAATTATCAGTTCTAAAGTGGGTATTATATCACGTATTCGACATTATGTGTCAAAATATATCCTCCTCTTGTTATACAATACTTTAATTCTCCCGCACCTAACTTATTGTATTGAAATATGGGGACATACTTACCCCACTTTACTTGAACCAATTCTACCTTTACAAAAAAAGCTTGTACGACTTATCACCTTCTCCGATTTATATACGCACACTCAAGAAAAATCATCCACACGTTGGGCGTTGCCGGTGTGCCACGGTGGTTGTCCTGGTGAGACATCGAGCCACACAGTGCACATTTTATCATATTATATTGTATGACAATTACTTTCTAAAAAGGAAAAATAGGAAGTAATAGCAATAATAGTTATTTATTTATTTATTATTACTTGGTTAGCAATCGGCTAATTGTCTTTTATTACATACCACTTACTGCTATTTTGTTTTAACTTAGATATTTAATTTACTCATGTATTTTTCTGATTAAGTACTTACTCATTTATGTTACCATATTATTTTCTTTTCATACTATCTATTTATCTAGACTAGTTCTGCTGAACTATTTCATGGTCCACACCAGAATTATTCAAATTGTGCACATTATATTAATTTTCCCTTTTATATATCTCAATTATTGTATACATAATTTTCTGGTGAAATCAATCAATCAACCAACTTATGGAATGTCTCTCGCTATCTAAATTTTGATTGGAAAGACGTAAATATATGTGCCAACAAATTGGGTCACTTTTTCTTGCAAGAATGTATAGGGGTTGCAGATACATTGAGAACTATGACTATTGAATAATCTTGAATAATCAGCAAAAACTGTGATTTCTTCCCTAAAAGCTGATAACAAAACGTTGCTCAAACCTCGGGAAAATGGGAAAAATAACACAAACAAACATAGTATACATTTTTGGCACATTTTGCAATGCGGCACACCACTATCATTTTGTTCACCGAAGTACGACCTCGCAATCTTCTCTATATACCGCTTCCTATTGAGCGTTGGTATATGTTCCACTAGCATCAGGTTGGCCCCGTTGACGAGAATATTCTGCCTAGACCATCAAATGCGTGGTTAACAAAAATTATCAACGCTGCCCAAAATCTCAACTGGCGTACAATATGGGGTCTTCCTAGCTCTGTTTTTGTTGATCTGCAAAATAAATTAGTTTGGCATGACGTGTACTACGTGCATTTGATTGATTTCACTGAAACATAAAGACAACCTCAATCAATTTCACTGATACTATATTTTATTTTATATTATATCACGTAGCCACGACTGAACTTAGATGTGCAACCCAGACTAATTGCGACTCCACAAGATATTGATACACACTATGTATTAAGTGTAGGGTTGTTTATCTTTGTAAGTCATGTATTAACAACAACAAGTTTACCGACGATTTGCAGTCACCTTGACAATCACTTATATCAGCATTGCAGTCATTATGACAATCACCTGTACCTGCATGGCAGTCAACATGGCAATTGTCTGTGTCTATATTTGAGTCACCATGGTAATCACCTGTATCTGCATGGCAGTCAACATGGTGATCATCTTACCTGCATGGCAGTCCCCATAGAAATCAGATGTATCAGCATGCTTGTCACCTTGACAATTATTTGTACCTGCATGGTAGTCAACATGGCAATCACCTGTATCTGCATGGCAGTCAACATGGCAATCACATGTACCTGCATGGCAGTCACCTTGTAAATTATTTGTACCTGCATGGTAGTCACCTTGGCAATCACCTGTATCTGCATAGTAGTCACCTTGGCAATCACCTGTATCTGCATGGCAGTCAACATGGTAATCACCTTACCTGCATGGCAGTCCCCATAGCAATCAGATGTATCAGCATGGTTGTCACCTTGGTAATTATTTGTACCTGCATGGTAGTCAACATGGCAATCACCTGTATCTGCATGGCAGTCAACATGGCAATCACATGTACCTGCATGGCAATCACCTTGTCAATTATTTGTACCTGCATGGTAGTCACCAAGGCAATCACCTGTATCTGCATGGTAGTCACCTTGGCAATCACCTGTATTTGCATGGCAGTCAACATGGTAATCATCTTACCTGCATGGCAGTCCCCTTAGCAATCAGATGTATCAGCATGGTTGTCACCTTGGCAATTATTTGT